CTATTGCTAACAGCCAATAGAAGTCCTGGTGTGGCACTGCAGGGTAATGCACTGGATCACAAGGTCAGTTTGAAGCACAAGGTCAGAAGTTCAAATCCACCAGTCGCTCCTCAGAACCCCTACATAGGAGCACTATGAGTCGGAACCGACTCGACAGCACTTTACAGCAACAACAACAGCTAATGAGACGGCATCTTTTCTGTGCATATTGGCTATTTGGTATCTTCTTTGGAAAGGCTCTATGCACATCCTTTGCTCAGGTTTTAATTGTATTATTTGTCTTTCAGCTGTAAGAGTTTGTTGTCTGTTCTGGGTGCAAATTCCTCCCCCAATACAGGGAACCCTGTGGGAGCTTTGCCTCACAATTCCCCCACAGCCAGGGAGCAGTCTTAGCACTTCCCTTCACTCTCTGTGTGTGGGAAACACTGTGGAGATTGAGTACTCTGGAACACTTTATTGTGCTCATGAGGAACCTGTAATAGACCAAGAGGACACTGAATGCTTTTAAATTAGGAAAGGTATGCACCAGGGTTATATTCTTTCACCATACTTATTCATCTGTATCTTGATCACCTAATCCAAGAAGCTATATTATATGAAAAATGTGGAATCAGGATCTAAGGAAGACTCATTAACAATATGTGATATGTAGATGATACATATTACATGCTGAAAGCAAAGAAGACTTAAAATACTTAGTGATGAAAATCAAAAACCACAGCCTTTGGTATGGGTTGTACTTCAATATAAAGAAAACAAAAATCCTCACCACTGGACCAATGAACAACATTCATATAAATGGAGAAAAGATTAAAGTTGTAGAAGACTTCATTTTGTTATTATCATCCATCAACACTCATGGAAGCAGCAGTCAGGAAATCAAACGATGTAGTGCATTAGACAGATCTGCTGCACAAAATGTCTTTAAAGTGTTCAAGAGCAAAGATACCAGTTTGAGAACTAAGTGCACCTGACCCAAGCCATGGTATTTTCAATAACCTCATATGCATATGAAAGTCGGACAGTGAATAAGGAAGACTGTAGAAGAATTGATGCATTTGAATTATGGTGTTGGAGGAAAATATTTAAAGTACCATGTGCTGCCAAAAGAACCAACAGATCTGTGTTGGAAGAAGTGCAGCCAGAATGCTGCTTGGAGGCCAGAATGGTGAGACTTTATCGTTTATACTTTGGACATAACAACAGGAGGGACTAGAAAACCCTGAAGAAGGATATCATGTTTGATAAAGTGGAGGGTCAGAGAAAAAGAGGAAGACCCCCAACAAGATGGATTAGCACAGTGGGCTTAGGCAAAGCAACAATTGTGAAATTGGTACAGGACCAGTGTTCCGTTTTGTTGTGCATAAGGTCGCTATGAGTCAATGCCGACTCTGGTACCTAACAGCAACAGTTGGAGTTTGTCTTATCTGATAGGTTTACACCTCAATCATGTTCTGGGTTTTGAAGGTTTTTGTGTATATGATTTGCATTAAATCTTTTTTTTAAAAAAAATCAGTGTAAACATATATTATGTCTTTAACAATATCCTAAATAATTTGTTGGAGAATAACTGTATTAGATAAGGTTTTTTCCTACTGAATTACCTAATGGGTTTGCAAAATTTGTTATGGTTGTAGATGTGAACCTAATTTGCTTCTATATGGCATGTGCGGCCTTTATAACATAGAGTAAACTGTGAGATCTGCAGGTTGCCGTGCATGTGTCCAGCCGTTTGTTGAATCATTTAGTTTGTTCAGTATAGTGGAAAGCTATCATGCCACATAAGTTACCTCCTAATGCTTACTGATTTAATAAATTTGTGCAGCAACTCTAACTTGGCCTCCAAACGACGTAATGCCAAAGGAAAGGCACTGTCGACTGTATTAGTCCTTAGGAACACCCTGGCAACCAGAGTAGTTCTGGGAAACGTACATGCAACCAAGTGCTTAAAAGAGCTAGATCCAGTATCATTCACTCAAAGGCTGTGGAACATGAGTCCCCACTGTTCGCGGAGAAGATTTAAGCTGCAGTCAAACTGTCTCCAGCTTCAATTACTGATACAGTAGCGGAAGACCAGGCCATGAGATTAAAAGGACAAGCTTACAGACGGTTTGATTCTGTGTAAGAGTTGGAACTATCTTAGGTCTTATATCAACTTGGTATCATATAACAAAAAAGTTAAATTTCTAGACTTAATGTTTTGTTACCAGTTGACAAGACTCTTTGTAAGAGTTGAGTTCTGAAAAGCAGAGGTGGGGTTCCTTGGAGCCATCTGGTGGCAGCTGGCTGCGCCCTTTTCAGTGTCACCTGATTTAGCTGCTCAGAGTGCCCCCTCGCCCGACCTGCCTGCAGGGCCACTCTGAGGAACCCTAGGGCTCCACAAAGCCCATGAGAAGCTTCACATATAATGACAAGGCTGCACAACCGAGTATAAAGTGACAAACTGCCTTAGGAATCTTGATTCTTTCCATGGCTTAAAATCTGTCTTGATAAAGAAAAAAGATTTTATTGCTTTAAAAATGTTTGCAGAGAACAAACAAGATGGAAGGAATACGTAGAGTCACTGTACCAAAAGGAAATGGTTAATGTTCAACCATTTCAAGAG